AGCAGGAAACAGAAGAGGTTTCTGGGGAAACGGAGGCAGAGGGCACCCCAGGTCCAACTCCAGCTATAAGATGCAGAGTAGTCAGTGCTTTGAACCTCAGAGACATTGTAACTGTAGTTAAAAAGTCTGAACAGTCCAAGGATTCACTTACTGGAGTCAACATATCAGCACCATCTCACATCTCCTTACCTAGGACAGAGAGCTCTGTGTTGTTCCCAAACATGCCCACGGATGCTTTCATTGGAGCCACCTCTCTTGCATTGATGACTTCTGCTTGTCCTTTAAAGACACACCGGGAGAAGGATGGTCTTTGCTCTTTGCCCCAAACATACAGTACCCTGGCTTTGAGTTACCGAACCTCTGAACTGGACTGGAGTACTACAACACTGAGAACCAACTCCTGCTTGGCTGGGATGCCAGAGAATGCCCTGCCTTTACTGGAAGGGGTGATGTTCGTCATACCCATCTTGTGAGAGGATACCAGCAATAACTTTGCTTAGACAGAGCCGTGTTTCAAGTGCCATAGTGTCGGCATTTACTACAGGTTGCACCTCTGTAGTTCAGGCTTCCCTCATCCAGCAACATTTGTTGCTGGGCATCTGTGGCTGCTCTGGGGCTGGAGCATGCCTGGGGAAAAAGCCAGGTGCCCCATGCTCAGCAACTCCTCCCCTGCTCTCCCAGAGCATCACAAATAGCTCATTTGCAGCATTCAAACTCGGGGGAGGGGGGAAGGCAAGACTAGGAGGAGCAGAGATGTGGGGGAGAAACTTTGAGGCGGCTGCGGAGTCCCCTAGTTGGGGCCATAGGTGCAGAGTTCTGCAGCTGTCCTGTTTCTTCCCCTAAGTGCCCCCTTCCACGCTCCGTCGATGCCAGCTTCTCAGCTTCAGGGAACTGCTTTGGCAGCAGCAAAAGAGCCAGCATTGACTTCTCCTGGTTCAGCAAATTCCCTTGTTTGGGACTGGTCAGGTCCCAAGGATGCTGGACCAGGGGTTCAAGCTGTCCTGACCCTCTTACCGGAGTTGGTGTAGATGGTGAAGACAAGACCCCCGCCAATTCCCATACTGTGTGGATTCATGAGGCCTACACAGAGCAGAGCTGCAATGGCAGCATCCACGGCGGAGCCTCCTTGCTGAAGGATGTCCCTACACAGGCAAAAAAGAGAACAATATTATAATCCAGATAAGCACAGCAGCCTCTTTTCCCACACTTTCAGGACCCCAGTCGGGTACTCCATCCATGTACATGGTAGATGGCAGGGCTGTTACAGACAAGACTGCCTTTTGTACCAGATTTGGCCTGGCTATGGAGATTTCAACAGAGAGATACAAGAGATGTGTTCTCCCTGTAAAGATACGTTGACATGCTGCCCGCTTGGAGGCCAGCAACTCAAATAAATTGTTACACATAGCATCAGCTAGCTATTATAAAATAGTTTTAGCATCCCAGTATAGCCGCCATTCCCTCCGCATGCTCACGGGACCTCCAGGAGTTGCTGGCTTTAGCACAGAGGCAGGAGGGAAGCACTATGTAGCCACCTTCTTGGCATTTTACTTGAGATGACAAAGATGCTGGTGCAGTTTCACAGGGAAGAAGCCTGCAGAAAACCACGCTCTCCCCAAGTAGCATCATCTTTGACTCTTTCCATCTGCTGTGATGGAGCAATTTTTATTAAGCACCATCTCCTGCTGGTGTGGGCTGGACAAATGTGCATTAAGACAAGTTTGAAAACCCTGCTCAGGTTTCAGAGAGTTGCCTGTGGCATTTAATGGTCCCACTTGTATTTTAAATGGGCCATTAACATACCTGTGGAGACTGAAAAAAAAAAAAAGGATTTTCAGAGCAGCTCGAAAAGTTTATTTCATGGCTCCCTTGACTGTGGCCTCTAAACCCATTCACAGATTGCCAGCAGCCATGTTCTTTCAGGCATGGGGAGCAAACCCAGCAATGCAAGACTCCGCAGTTCCGTTCTCCTGAAGCTAGGGGACAGATTGCAGAGCACAAGGGTGCATGGCAGGCAGACAGCCAGCATGCAGCTCCTGAGGGAGAGCAAACAGAACAGTGCTTGGCTTTGTTACAGGAGCTCAGAGAAAGGAGTGGGCACAAGTAAGGACAGATACCTTCCAATTACGGAGCACTGCTCAGCATCTGTAGCCACAGCTGCATTCTTGTAGAGAATTGTAGGGGAATTGCGCAGCCCGAAGAAAAGTCCAAAGAAAAGGGCCAGGCCCACCAGGAAGACAGTCAGAAGCCCAACCATCAAATAGCGCTTCATCTTTCTGTGGAGAGAGACACTGTGAGCAGGCAACCCCACAGGGGATCCCTTAAAATGGTTCCAGGGGATTGCTTCTAGCGATCAGTTTTCAAATACAATGGAAATTGCACCCTGGATTCTTACCAGTGGTCTCCTCTGAAGGGAGTGTGCAGAAAAGAGCAACTGAATGAGGCCAAAGTCTCATTCCATTCAGAGAAATCAGACTGCAGCTACTCCATTTGGAAGGGAGGTAGATTACTAGGAGCTTGCTAAAGCTACCCAAGGCAAATGGGCCCCCAACTCAAATGGCCATTACTTAGGACCCGAATGCCTGATTCCCACTTTTGATTTTCAGAACTCACCCCCGTGCCAAAAAGTCTAGTGAAGTCATTGGGCACGCCTGTGTAACTACTGACCGGCAGAACCAAACCTGGGACCTCAGTGTAGAGGCCTCTACAGCTTGAGCTATCAAGCCAGCTGGCTCTCAGCTTAGGCTGTAGAGCTCCCTTGCTCTTCTCTCTTGCTGAAAGTGGTCTAAGTGCCACTGCATGGGAAAGTGAGCCTCACTAGGTGTGTGGGTTATTCCTGCTCTTGCAGTGCAGTCAGATAAGAGCCCTCATTGTCGGCGGGGTTCAGATGCCACCTCACTTTCGTGAACACTGCGAAGCCTGTTAGATGCTTTGCCAGACTCCAGCTTTATTAGATCACTCTGTGTCCCTCAGTCAACTGTTCGTAATTTGATCCAACGTTAAAGGCTCATCTCGTCCCATCTGGGCTGGTCTCTGCAGCTTCCTGCTCACGAGAGTGCCAGGAGTGGCTCCTCTGAAGGACCACATCCCTGCCCCTGCAGCCTGGGACTGCCGCCTGAAGCAATACGCCGCTGGCAACAGTGCACTGAGTGGTCTGGCTGTCTGGGAGTGGACGTGGGGCACACTGACTGATAAGGGACCCATCCTTCCAACAGGGGTGGGGAGGAGTTTATCACAGGTCCTTTACATTACAAAGGACCTTGTTTCTCACTGTTCTTAATCAGCGCAAGTGACTCAAATACCATAGCGAGGGATGTCACTCCAGGCTATTGAAGGCTAGGCTGTGCACATACTGTACAAAACGTCTCTTCCCTTGAACGTCATGCCCCCCAAAGAGGGCCAGGCTAAGGCCAGGACATGACCTCTCACTCCCTTGGCTCCACACAGCTGGAAAGACACAGGGGAACAGTGGTGTCAATGTCTCTGCCTGCATATCTGGGAGCATTTCCTGGAACGACGACCACCCCCGAAGTTCCTATTAGGGCAGTGCAGCTCTGCGGGGCCTGCTCCTCAGGGCAGGGATGATCAGACAGCAAGGCGCTCAAGTGTTACGGTCACAGTCTGTGTTGCAGTTCAGCACTCAGCTCCCAAGTGTCCTCTGAGTTTAGAAATAGTGGAACATCCAATGAGTCCTCGACCAGGTCCCCAGCCTTGCAAGGGCTCCTCTCAGCTAAGAGGTGAGTTTCCATTTCTAACTAGCATAACCTGAGGCCAAGTCCTGCCAAAGCAGGAAGAAAAAAGCATGCATGCAGAAGGGCCAGTGAGGATACTGAACATACATGGATCTACAACCAGAAGAAAGAAGCCCTCTCAGTGAAACACTTCAGCGTGAGATGGACCCAGTCAGGGAAGAGAGCCAGAGAAGAGAGTCTGACTGCTGTAAGAAACTGGAGCACTGAGCTGCCTGCTTTTCCTGTAATCCGGAGCACAGCGCTGATTAGAACAAGTCTTTACTGCCTGAGGTAAAGCTACTAGGTTCCCTAGACTATTGAAGGGCCAGTCACTACAGGGCAACATCCCTCCTATACACGAGAACGTGAATGCTGCAGCATGAAGCTTAATGTTACGAGTAACATTTCAGTACTTACCTGATGCCTCTGGCTAGGTAGCATAGACAAGAGTGTTAAGTGAAAATGGCCTAGTTTTTCCCTGTTGAAGCTGTGTCTTTTCTCCAAGGATTATTACTGGGTCCAGTCAGAACAATTACTTTCCGCTGCTGTCTGAAGCAGAAGGTGCTGTAACTCTCCAGCAAGCAGTTATCTGCAAATGGTTTTAACCTCTGAAACCTCTCAGCTCTGCTGAGGCTTTGTTAGTATTTCCGTCAGACAGCACTTCTCAGCAGCAGGCCACCATGACAGAGGAGCTATGAAGTAATTAAGGGGGCTACAATTACTTCTCAGACATTAGGGTTGTGACATTGAATTTCCTGCCTAGCACTGAACAAAGCCAAGCCGGACCTGTCTTAATTCACGTAGGGGAAGAACAGCAAGCAACAGTTATCGCTGGATGAACAACTTTACCAGCGAGTTTTTAATTTGTGTCACAACTTGAACAGTCTTAAACATATGGAAGTTTTATTTAAAATCCCAGCACACCACTCTAGTTACTACCAGGCAGAGTGATTCAAGCATAAAGGGATATAATCATGAATGCCAAAGAATGACTAAGTTGCAGCTAGCAAGGGATGTGAACATTAACAAGAAGGGTTTTTACAGCTATATTAGCAACAAGAAGCAGCTCACGGAATGTGCAGGACCCTAGCTGAAAAGGGAAGGCAACTTGGTGACAGATGATGTGGAAAAAGTTGAAGTACTCCATGCTTTTTTTGCCTCAATTGCCACAAAGTCAGCTCCCAGACTGCGGCACTGGGCAGCACAGTATGGGGAGGAGGCGAGCAGCCCTCAGCGTTGAAAGAGTAGGTTAAAGACCATTTAGAAAAATGGGGCATGCACAAGCCTATGGGGCCAGATCTGATGCATCTGAGAGAATAGGCTGGCGTGATTTCAGAGATAATGGCCAATGGCTCTGCAAACTCATGGCAAGTAGGTGAGGTCCCAGACAACTGGAAAAAGAGGCAAATTTAGTGCCCATCTTTAAAAGGAAAGGAAAGGAAATAGGGAACCACAAACCAGTCAGACTCACCTCAGGCCCTAGAAAAGTCATGGAACAGGCCCTCCAGAAGTCCATTTTGGAACACTTGGAGGAGAGGAAGGTGACCAGGACAGTCAATGGGAATTCACCAGGACACACTGTGCCTGACCAACCTAATGGCCTTCTACAGGTTGGACCTCCCTGGTCTGGCACTCTCAGCATCTGACCAGTCCCAGAAGAGGGAATTTGCTGGACAAGGGGAGGTCCCTTGACACCAGCCCTTCAGCCTGCTGCCCCCCCTGCTGCTGGCTCCTCTGGCTGGCCCTGTTTGCAGCTGGCCAGTCCCAGCCCCAGCTCTGCCGCCGGCCAGGCAGCATTAAGCCCAATCAGGCTGCCACCGCCTCAGCCCCAGCTCTACTTCCTACTGGGTGGCACGTGCACCCAGCTGTGCTGCGTCTGCCGGGCTGACACGAATAG